AGCGCCATTGTATTTTCCAATTGGTTAGCCCGTAATTTGCCCATGCATTCTGGCACCTGCACTTGTGAGGGAACGTGAACATGTCCCGCTATTTTATGTGACACCAATGCTGTTGATGTTACGCCAGTGCCAGTCGCACAGGCAAAGCGTCGCCGCAGAATGAAACACAGAAAAAAAAAGCCTGCAATGTAGCCAGCTATATTACCAACAAATGGGGACAGTGAAACATTGAGCTCAGCTTGCTCTTCGAGTTCATTTCGTTGGAGAACTCACATAGATGCAGGCTTTTCCCAATCATATATCACTGCTTATTTCCTAGTAAAACAAGCAAAACTTGATACTATTTAGAAGCGCAACTTCTCGTGAAACGTCTTTTTTGAAGACCTTCCTAGTCAGCTTAAGCAGTATGCTGCTCTACAGGCAAGCGTTGTTTCCAAACAAAAGAAACGAAACGCATGCTCGCCAATAGCAAACCAGATGTCGCGCGCTCACTTCCGGGACAAAACTGCAGCCTACGGTGGCTTCAGCCGTACACGGTCGAAGCGCCATCCCATTCGCCGGAGGGGAGATAGTGAATGCATTGCTCCAGACCGCACAGCTACAGCAGCTACAACGCAGCGAAAAGCACCAGACCAGAACTATGAGTTGTCAGCAGCTGCTGTCAGCACCGCCATGTAACGCGGAAAAGAAACCACACAACATTAGAGCGAGGTGACGTAATGCACACACCATGGGCTGGGCGCAACGAACGGCGTTGCCCTCTCCTGCGTGATGAAGCGAGTTGAGGGAGCAATGCATCAAGAAAATATAGGAATCGCCCTATCTCCGGTCCTACTATAGCTTTTCGAAAAATTCTTTCCGCTGTGTATTCCTCGGAGGCATCCGACTCATTCCAAGGTGTTTTAGACGCCAAGTGCGAGGGGTGGTTTATGAGCCCTTTAAAGCGCTTACCACGCTGCTCACGTTTAAGCTAATAGAATCTGTAGGCTCAGTGCTGGATATATGTTCAATATATATTAGTCCAAGCGTCTTAATTGACTTCGTTACTGAAATTTTGTATGGGTCAAAAGTAACGTACTTTGGTAACTTTAGGTATGTGCCGAGAGCTCGGAAAAGGGCACATTTTGTTTTTTTTTTGTTTTTTCACTTAGCTATAAACGGTTTTTGGTGACCAACTACAAAACGTACATGTGCTGACCGCTATAGAGCCACCATACGTATCCAGATAAACATTATTTGCGTCCTGGAAATAAGATTCCTCAGAACCAACCGATGGCAGCACTCGCGATGGAGCACAAAAATTTCTGTCAGTAAAATATTGTGCCCAGTCATAAGGACATACTATGAAGTTGAACTTTTCACCTGTGAGGCAAATTAGGCTAATCTTCACTGTGAAACATGGACGTGTAGTAGCGCTGAGGTTGGTAGCAATTGTGAAAATTGATTTGAAAAAAAAATTTCAAGAAAGAAAGGGAACATGAAATACAACACATAGGAAGAGAATGCGTTCAGGTACTTGTACAGGTACCAAGGCTACAGGTACCAAGGTACTGGTACCAAGGCTACACTTGGTACCTGTATTGGTACTGGTACCAATACAGGTACCAAGGCTACATTCACGTGTACACTGATGGCTCCGTCGCCAAAGAGACAGCGACATCAGCCTTTATATTTCCGGAATCACGCAAAGAATATGCATGTCGGCTAGTACATTTCTTCTCTTCAACAACGTCGGAGCTCGTAGCGATAGCGCTAGCCGTAAACTTTAATAAACTGTTCAAAGCCAAGAAAATGGGTCATAATTACATACTCTCTGGCGTCAATCGCGTGTGCAAAAAATGCCACTTCAAGACACATTGATGTGTGTATAGTATACGCTATACTAAAAGAGCTTTCAGAAGCTAGGAAGTCGAATCGACGAGTGACATTTCAGTGGGTTCGCAGTCACTGCGGAATCAAGGGAAACGAAATAGTACATGAGTTGTTGATTACCACTTATCAATCTACACATACGTGCCGCATTCTAGTATCTCAATATGTGTAAATAGAATTTCAAGAACAACGAAGTGTGAATTTCTAGCTTGTTCACAGACAAAATAAATAAATTGATCCTCTATGCTGATGATCCTAATCTTGGATGCCAATCAGACCGTGATCTCCCAAGGCGTATTGACACACTCATAAGTTGCCTAAGACTCGGAATTTCTTGCTTGCACAAAGCACTTCCTACTTCGTATTCAGCGGGCAACATCGTCAGCATGTTCTTGCGACCACGACGATCAGGATATCCATCACGTCTTGTTCGACTGGCCGAAACACGACACACACCGAAGGCTACTCGAACAGGAACTCAGTACGTTATATTCCGTGCGGCCATTTGCATTAGATAAAATACTAGGCCCATGGTTATCTAAAGCAATAGCAAAGCAATGAAGATGCTGCAACACTTCGGAAAAACGAAGATTTGTGACCACTAGTGAGCCAACTATAGTTAAAAGTGAGCGTGGAGACTACGTGTATGTTCTGCCCATCGGAGAACTTTTGCACTCACCTATGTAGGACTGTATAGATGTATATATGCTATTTTATTTTTTTTTCTAGTCTTTATTTGTAACAATCAGGTGGAAAGGGGTAGTCACCGCCAAGTAAAAGTGACAAAAACTCCTTCGTTTATTTTCTACTTCACTAAAAATGCTATCGGGAGCGTCTTTTTAGATTGGCATTGCAAGGCTGGTTAGGCAAATGTGACTGTCTGGTCATGACAGGAATATCATAAAGATCTTGTAACGTACGTCACGAAACTCTTTTCAGCAGACATTTTTGGCACATATCCGCATACCATGGGCCGCACTCTTCGGGTAACCACCCCAGGTGATTGACAGTTTACATGCGACCAAGAACGGCGAGAACAGAGATTGGCAATTTATATGTGGGAGCGTTAATAGAAACAGACATCACAAGCGTTTACCAGACAAATGCGAAAAATAAAAATAAGCACCACATCATTATTAGAACCTAATGATCCTGCTAGCAGTCGCATATTCGGCCACAGCGCTATGGTCTTCAAACTACTTTCGAAAAAGACCCTATGCAGGCGTAATGACGGCGCAACATGAATTGTGGTTGCATTGCTGGATATCTAATTTTATAATAAAGTGTTGAACAATACTTTATATTGAATGTACTGTCGTGGTGTAGGAGTCATGTCGGCTTAACGTGAATTTAGCTTCCAGTATTTTTCGGTACAGCACAAGATCGACGAAGACAGAAATGACGCAGACGAGTGTCTTCGTCAATGTCGTGCTTTACCAGAAAATATGGTCGTAACAACTAGCCCAGCTTTCAATATTGTTGTGGTTCTAGTGTTGGCTCTACTTTTATAACAGTTTAACATTACACTTAGTCTCCTATGATTCAGTGAGCTATACTCATGCTTTGGTCGACGTTGCTGGAACACGACAACGAACGTTACATATGATACTAACATAATCGCACCGTAAAGTACACGTCGGGTCCACCATGCTGACGTATATGCTCTAACGTGAGCGCTGGCGTTACGTCGAACCGTTCTTTCAGTTTATAATAAACGTAAGTGTAGTCAGTATTCCAGGTAAAACTATGATGTACAAACACTAAACTTACCAATAGACGTCAACCTACGTCGAAAAACGTGCCTCAAAGCCAAGAAATGTATTATTGAGAATTACTCGCTGCCTGATTCGCATGAAACCGAGTGTTATAAAAAGTAGGATCCACCGATTTTTTTTCAGCTTAACGCGTTGCCTCAATGGACATGCAGCTGATGCTCATAATCATTTCACTTCAGCGCTCACCTACATCAGTGCGGTTTTAAAAAGCCCGCCCTATGAACATCACTCAAGTGAAACTCGTTACATTATTTTGACGTTCTCCATCGTCCCCCCCCCCCCCCCCCCTTCTGAAATTTTCTATTCTTCTCGGGCGCTGGCCTCTGACCATACAATGTTAACGTTTTTTTTTTCAACCATTCACGTTGTTATTTTCATCACAAGCTTCAAGTGTAAAACTCTGGCGACGACGGTGGCGTCGCCTGCTGACGGGAGGAAATGTCTGGTTTTCAATACAATCTGTGTCAAAGTACGCGCAGTGCACCGACGAAAACTGCAACCACAGATCACGTCACATATTTAAGTCCTAAGATATGGCGTTAAATATATATATATATATATATATATATATATATATAATATATACATATATATATATATATATATATATATTGTCACGTAGATCTTCGATCTTCTGTGAGCGGTCACAACGTAGTTTATTTCGACGTTTCAGCCTAGAGTCTGGCCTTCATCAGGATATGAAGAAGGCCAGATGAAGGCTATCCTGATGAAGGCCAGACTCAAGGCCGAAACGCCGAAATAAACCACGTTGTGACCACTCACGGAGGATCTACTTCAGTATATGCAACGCTACGGCCACTCAACCACCATGCCTGCCTATGTATATATATATATATATATATATATATATATATATATATATATATATATATATATATATATATATATATATTGTGATTCTGCGTGTCTTCTCGTGCAGTAGAAAGTCGGACATGAAGTAAAGTGTACGGTCTTTATTATTTTTTTGTTTAGTGTCACTACAAGGTGTTGGTGCACTCATGAATCATAGAACAATGCACAGCCCCGGGCGACGACAGCTCGCACAATCGCGCGAAAACCCGGTTCTCCTTCAAAGGCCCACGCAATCGGGGGGAGCCGGTAGTTCTCCAAAGATCCACATCCTGCCACATCTCCTACTCGACGGGACCCTCGGTTTTCTCCCCTAGACGGAGTTCTGACGCCGGGTCCTCACTGCCGCACCAAGCTCTCTCTCATCTCTCTTTCTTACCAGTCGCCTTCCCCATTGGCTCCGTGCCTGTCACGTGGGCCCATGACGTGTTGGTCCAGTTGCACCGCGCTGCCGCTGCGCGACGCCACCGGTGCTCATTTGTCGATCGCGTCTCTTGTCGGTACCACCGCACGAGGACCGACTGCCCCTTCGGCCGGAAGGATCGCACCGCTAGTTACGACGAAATTCCACCTGCTTTGTTGTTGACTGTGATCGGGGTCTGTTGGCGTAATTGTGACGAATGTAAATTACCACCAGCGCGGTTTTCTACTTCTAGAAGCCCCGACTAATTCTTCAAACCTTGACTAGGAGACACCGAGAGATTTGAAAAAAAAAAGAGTCTTTTGTGGCGAAGCCGACTGTGACGCGAGTGTGATTTGAACGTGTGACATTGGTGTACTGCTTGGATCGGCGCGGGCGCATTGGCGACTTTACAACTTTGTTCGTTTTTGTTTCTACTGGTGCTGTGAGAAAACATGCTTTTTATGCCGGCTGACTCGTATCAGAATACATTCTAGTTAGACTACGCGGGAGATACTCTGGTGGTGCCGGGGATAGAAAGAAGACAACGAAAACTATGGATTGTCGTCGTGCCGCAGCGGTGTCTGCTGGCGCTGTGACTGTTGGGAAAACGTTCGTCGGTGGATCACATGCCAGGATTTCAGTCTTCTTTCTTATTGGGACTCTTCCTCGGAGTCGTCTTGCTCGCCTCACAAGGTCAGTGCAGTCTCGCACAGCATGCATATCATCGCGGTTGTGGCTGTCATCTAGTTTTATTTTCGATTCATTTTCATCTAACCAGTGCAAGTGACCTTACGCGACTTTGTAATAGACTAGAAAGTAAGTTGAGTTATGCGTTGCGATGTTTGTTGCGTTAACCAGGCAGTTATGGAAATGGTGTTATTTACACTGAAATCGGGGCACCTTCATTCGAGTATAACCTTCACTTATAGTTTGTTTCAGGGAGTTGTGCTTGTGAGTTTTCCAAAAACGCAGATGCCATTTCTAGGAATCGTGATGAAAGTGTATTGAGTGTATGGCATCGCACGTCATTCTCCTTTCTACAGTCGTGGCTCAGCAGTACTGATTGAATTATATCACCTACGTGCGTAGTGCTTGTGGGCTCCAAGCGTTAGCAGGCTTTGTGAGAACGAAAACTGTCGAAGTCGCTGAACACACATTTAATTCATTTTATTTTAGTACTAATGATAAAGTCAAATACTGTAGCCATCCACATGAACTGCTACTTATTTGACATTAATTTCAATGAAAAAAAGTCATATTTGCTGTACAAACCTTAGATACACTTGCGTGTCAAAATGCATTAACATTGCCTGTCCGATTAAGCTATAGCATTCAAAGCAGTCACTCAACTCTTTCACGGATGTTTTTAATCTGTTGCGTGCAAATTCACCCTGTCCTTCCAATGGCATCTAAGCAGGGCTGGTACTTCCATTAAATGCCTAGCGATAGTTGGTGGTGCTGTGATTTAATTAACATTCCAGTGTACATGCACGTGCTTTTATCAGCTCTAATGAGGTAATAACAAAATATATAAAAATAACTTGTTTGTGTTCCGTGGATGTTACATGTGCGCAGTATGGTAGATATTACGCAATGTAACTTCAAAACGCACCGCTCATTGAAACCCTGGCATCATTTGGGATGCCTGCTTTTACAGCACATTTCGCTGATGAGCTGTCAGAGAATTTGTAATGCTGCTAATGACTCAGTGGTAAGCTTGAAACTAAATGAAAAATGAGACGCCATTGAAAAAAAAAACAAAGAAAGACACAACAGGTGTGCATACTTTCCTTCCATAATTTTGTACTAAGGCGTTATATTTAGGATTTGAATTATGTCAGCCGAATAGTTTCATTCTGTCTTGTTTGCTGCATTATAGTGAATAACGACGCCGGTACGCATTGTATGTCACTGTTGCTTGCCAAAAATAACTAACCGTCAGGCAGTGTGCAGAAAAAAGGCGGTAAACAAATGGTCTGTAGAGCAAATACTAGTGAGAGCTTTTTCTCCCGAGTTCTTTCGAAAACATGCCAACTTTTCAATTTCGAATAAAAACTTAGCTGCATGCACACTTGGCAACCGTATGTGTGTATTCATGTCTGTACACCCGTACTTTACGTTTTTTCAATATAGTGAGCAAGCAATTAAACACACTCGAAGAAGTTTCGCGAAACTCATAGATTAATTTATGCTGTCTACAATGCTCAAACAACGCTCATAAAACGAACGAATGCAAACAAAATATTTCATGCAACGTGGGCCTCGTCGTCATACGCTCATGGCACTTCCTTGTGCTTTGCATTTTTTTTACCTTGAGTGGTAAAGCGCAGCTTTATCAACATGGCGAACTATATATTTCTGCACACATTATGCTTTCAACAACCAGCACAAGATCAGGAGCGTATGCAAATAAAACTGCATTTCGTTGTTCGTTTTATACAACGTTATAAACCATTAAGGACTAGAGGGAAGTCAAATTCCGTGCACGCACACTCCGAATATACGCCTGAGGGTTACTGCGAAATGCAGAAAATGCCATAAGCGTTCCTACCAAAGCGTTTTATCGCATCTGCTTTCCAGCATGATCAGTTATTCATTACGACAATTGCACGTGCACGCTAGGCGTTACTATCAATGTACCTGTTCCCACGGTCATTTCTTCCTATAGCCTTGTATCGATAAGCCAGTTCATTCTCTATTGTCTTTCTATCATACGGCTTCGAATATTTTTGCGTCCACGTTTATGGAAATTCCGATTTATTGCAAATGAATAGCTACACTTCGTGTAACCAATTGATTCAGTGGTAGCTTCTTTAGTTGAAGTTCTGTGAAGGTAAATGTGGCCTTGGAAATAGCTAAAGCTACATCAAAAGCATGAACTTCGCTCACTTTACGTCAGAAGTTCTACTTGACGAAAATGTTGGTGTTTACTACCTTCCTATTTTTGTCCGAATGCATTATGTCTGAACGCATAAGACGCTGTGAATAGCTCGCACACATGCGCGACTATATACTCTTCCGCTTTGCGGCCTGCGTGGCTTACTTTACTCAGAAGCTGGGCAGAAGGTAACTTATGACATAAGATGTATGGCGACCTTTCTGGTAAAATTTTAGGGTATATAAATTATTTCTCCACTCCAATACCTTAATACCTTTATAATCCACTTTTTCATTTACCTTTTTCTTATTGGACAGCCGGCTGTGGTAATTGTATGTGCCTCTGTCATCGTAATGGGCTCAAATATTCTCTTAGGCAAAATTTTAGTCTCTGATGTCTTTGTGAATTGCTGCTTTACTTTTATGCAATAACAATACAAAATTCTTTAAGTGGCCATCTTGCGCACTGAATACGGCTCTACTGGAGCAAAATTAACGTTTTACACATACAGGATTACATTCAAGTAAACATACAGGGGTTCACGTTGTAAATCGTTGCTGGTTGAAACTAACTCGTGAGGCCCGATGGCGACTGTTACTGCTATTAGGTTTTCATATATATATATATATATATATATATATATATATATATATATATATATATTCTATTTTAACAACCCAAAACAGAGATATGGTTACAATTGATGCCATATGAAGGACTCCAGAAATTTTGGCCTCCTGGTGCTCCTTAACGTACAAAGTACACAGGTCTCAAGTCTTTTCATTCGCATTCACAATGTGGTGACCGGTGGTGCCTGTTATGATGATGATGATGATGATGATGATGATGATGATGATTGTGATACCTAGAAATTATGCTCTCAGCGCTGTTAATCGAACACTGTGACTAATGAATAATAAGTGATCATTTGCAATTCGCATAACTTGAATACATGCTTACAAACATAGCTTACCAAGTACCCCTTTTCTCAAGGTTATCGAGGGCTTTTGAGCGTGTCAATGACGTAGCTCGAGCTTACGTTCGCAATTATTGATGCTATACCAATATTAAGAAGCAAAAAAAACAGATATCCTAAGTGCATTGCCTAAAACCAAAGGATAGAATCCGTGTCGAGTGGGTAACGCGAGACCAAAAGAGAAAACAAAAAGAGATGAGCACAGCTTGCGCTTGGTTGCGCAAGGCTGGGACACTGCACAGCTGATGGGCACCTAGCTGGTCTTGGCTTGGCTAGTCATTTACCCTGTCTCTTTCCCACCCTTTGCTATACTGTACTACAATTGATTGCTCTCTTTTCTTTCTATCTTCCTTACGTCTTTCTCGTTCTCTCTTCCTCTCCATGTCTATCTCTCTCTCTGTCTTTCTTCTTGTGTGTTATTCCTATTTCTTTCTTTTTCTACTTCTTTCGGTGTCTGCTTCTCTTTCCCTATTTTCTGTACTCATTCTTTCGCCTTCTATCTTTTTCTCCCCTCCTTCGCTCTTTCTCTCTCTACCTGAACTCGTTCTTCCTTGCTCCTTTTCATCCTTCTCGTCCCGCCCCGCCGTGATGGTCTAGTGGCTAAGGTACTCGGCTGCTGACCCGCAGGTCGCGGGTTCGAATCCTGGCTGCGGCGGCTGCGTTTCCGATGGACGCGGCTTGCGTACGTAGATTTGTGTGCCTGCGTGCTTAGATTTGTGTGCACGTTAAAGAAACCCAGGTGGTCAAAATCTCCAGAGCCCTCCACTACGGCGTCTCTCATAATCATATGGTGGTTTTGGTACGTTAAAGCCCACATATCAATCAATCCTTCTCGTCTCTTTCTGTTTCCCTTCCCCTCGATATACTACACCATATCCAAGGATATGCTATACTCTGCTATCGTGCTGGGAAAACCGAGCGGTTACGACACTCGTCCCCGGGTCGCGGGGATGTGGGTTCGAATCTCGCCAAGAAATTTCTTTCAGCGAGATTTCTACTTTTTTGTATTCCTTTTTCTTTCTGTGTATTTTTCGACTGTGGATAAGAATTATTGCTTCCAAAGGCAGACGAATCAGTGCACGTGTTCTGGGAGCGATGCAGAAGAATAAAAAGGCGATGACGAAGAGGGAAAAGTGACGTTTTGTCACTTCATACTAAAGAAAATTTTCTATTTTTAGCACACGACAAACGTCGAACCTACGACGCTACTGCATGAAGGTTCTCTATTTCTCTCATACCTTTTTATTTGCTACAATAAACTGTGTTTCTACAAAGTCAGCATTTCTTTCACATTCGTATAGCTAATTTGAATGTAGCGTCACGTTAACAGCACAATGATTAAAACGTACAGAAAAGTAACGTCAGCAGTGCGCGCTGGTGTCGTGTTCTCTATTTAGTAAGCTACTTATTATTGGTCAAGTGACATTTGAACTTAGGGGACAATCAATAGGTTTGGTCGGTCAGATTTGTGTTTTCTATAAGAGTGTATCGAAAAGAGGAGAAATTTATGTAACATATGATTAGTGCAGCACCCATATTTTACAGTTGCCCGAAAAAAAAAGTACTAAATATTGTCCGCCCCTTGTGGTGTAAAGTTATCGCCAGTGCGAGCAAAAAATAAAAAAAAAACACGAACCCACTTGCCTCTTTGACAGCGTTTAAGCAGCACAAGATGCGAGGATAATCTCCCGGGTACCCGAGACGGTTGCTTTACCAGTGGCGCGACTGACTGTAGGAAAACGCAAAACGCTGCCAGTGCAACTGGAAACGCCTAAAAGACTGAGACGGTTGCGCGTTTAAGCACTTGCTGTTGCGAGGCAGCGCTATCAGGTTACCCTC